TCTTGGGTATTGCATTGATGATATAATAGCTCCTGCATTTGCTAGTACAGACTGCTGCAGGAATATTATAATGAGAAAACTAAATAATAATAGTTACGAAGTGTGCGCGGTTACCGGTGAATAATTATATACGTCTCGTGTGAATCCAAATTTATTTAGCACACGTACTATTATAGTCTTTACAATAATGTACTTATTACCATATTATATATTAGGCATATAATATTGTAGTATATAATATATAACAATATCGTGCGTAGTTTTAAATATATAAGTAACTGCACTTCCTTTACTCAAATATAATAACAAGGGTGAGCATTGAGAAATTAACTATATAGTTAAAAAATTAATTTTGATCAAACTTTTTAACTTAATAATCATAATAATTTTATTTACGAAAATAAATTCAAATTATAATGAAATATTTAAATAATAAGTGTATGTATACGTAACAGATAAAATATAAGTACCTAGGTATCTCTAAATGTACAAGAATTATCCATGGTAAAGTATATAAATTTAAAAAATAAAAAATAATATTTAGCACATATTATTTAAATTAGTTAAAAGTTAGATAGTATTAAACAATAAATTTAAATAAAATAAAAACTTAAAATAGAGAATATTTTATGACAAATCACATAATGTGTTATCGAATAAGTTTATATTATTATTTAAATTTTCAGTAAACATTAAAATTAAAAAAATTTCCAGAAGAGTATATAATCAATATTGTTTTAATTAATGAGTGATAAATATTACTTTATTTTTACAATTAATTTAAGTGTTTAAGTAAATCAGGACAATCGATAATAGTAAATAGCAATTTAAACAGAAATTTCACTATAGATTTATACATTTTCCATTGTAATAATTTATACTTTTTAGCTAGTTTGGCAAATAACAGTCAAGTACTCAAGTCAGTTAGAATTAATAAAAATTATTCAGCCAAGATGTAACAAAAATTTTAAATCAAATAAAAACAAATAGTATTTCTCGATTGAATAATTTAATAGACAGAAACCTATAATCTACCTAAACTACTATAAAATGTGCAATCAGAAGGAATAATAATATGCTGCATTTATTATAAAATGCTTAGTTATTTAATACAAAATTGAAAGTCTTATAACCATTATTATATGATTTAGATGATAAAAAAAAAAGTTAAGCCATTATTTTAGTAACTTTTAATTTAAAACTAAACGTTCTGAACATTAACTTCGGTTATTTTTTTCATATTTTTCATATAATAATATGTAATTTTTTACCTGTTCGGCAACAGAATATAATATTTATTTACTATGTAGGACATATAGATATTTAATAATTTTTAATTGCGTTCCTATACATACTAAATACTTAAAAAATTAAAATTAAATATATAGACACATTTTATTACACTGGCTGTCTACTGCTGCAATATCACAATGGAATTTGTTAATAAGGGAGGTGTAATGAATTTTAATTATATATTATACCCAATATCCATATAAACTTCGAACGATTATTATTATTTATTATTTGTATATTAATAATATATTTTATTTTTAAAAGAAAAAAATATAATTATAAACCAAAATCATGTAAGTACGATAAAAAAATCTTAGCGCCCGTTGCGTTAGAGAATCAATGAATAGAATCTGAAACTAAAATAAATATATTGTCCCTGCTACTCGGTAATTGGTATACAGTGCAGGCTTCTGTATCGAATCATTAATTCTGAACTAGACATTTAAAACATTATAATTTATGATATTGAAAGCAAGGCTTATATTTTTAAAAGGTACCGGTATCAGAACGGAATAATAAACAATCGTATTCATCAGAGATCGTTGGTCAAAATTATTAAGATTTTGTTGAAAGTTAAAAGTGATAGTATATTGTACATTAATGTGTTTTGTATGTAATATTTATAGATCTCATACTGAGGTAGTATAAATTCCTATGTTTATATGTTTCACGTATGGTTTTTAAACTACACCGGAAAAATAAAAATAAATTATATTCATAAACTTCAAAAACAATCTAAAAATATATATACCATTATTTTTCTATATCATTTTTACTCCATTTTTATATAATTGTATTTAAAAAAATTATAATAATTTATAACTATCAAAAAGTTACATAGAAAATAATTAGTCAAGGAATCGTGAAACCTTTCAAACTAGCTTCGTAAATTATAATTAATTAACATACAATATAGATATTTTAATTATGCATTATAATTAATAATTATAAATTCATATAGGTATGTTAGGTTAATTTAAAGTAAGAAATAGTTACGACTAATAGTAATAATTAAGGCCAATGATTTCAGTAATTTATTGGTCATGATTAGGTAGATACAGTTTCCACTCTAGTTCAGTAAATTGATATAAAATACGTATTGAATACTGTTAAATTGTACCATATAAAAACTTAATTTCAATAAAGATATGGATATAGATAATAGCCGTAATCCAGTATAGCTAAATTTGTTTTTTTATAAAATGTTGACAAAGGTTTATAATTTGTCACATTATATTATAAGTACTGCATTTAAAATTTTTTATTTCACAAAAAGTAAATCATTATAAAATCTAACAAATAGTTAAGTTTTCTAATCAATAATATGGAATGACAGCAAAGATTCAATAATATTTAATCACATTAAAAGTATTTTCAATAGTATATACCATGTAAAAACTGTTGGCTCACAATGAAAAATAAACTACTCAAGTAAATAACATTATCAAATTTTCACTTACATAAAATATAGCTGGATTGGTGGTATCTATGTTTTCATGTATATTTGAATTTTAAATAATGGTAAAAAAAAAATAATCTCGATTTAGAGCGTGTTTTGGGAGTGGATAGTCGTTATGGCATTCCGAGAAGCGCTCTTCCAATGCTACCCTATAAAACTTGTATTATGCTAATATAGTATAGCTATATTGCTATAACCTACATATAGAATTTAAAACACGATACGGTCAACAAAAGGGGTGTTTAAATCCCCAAACTCGACACTACCGCGCAACTGCGTAACGCAGATTGTTATACTGAATGAGCTACGTATATATTATTTCAATATATAATAATAAATAATAATAATATACTAATAGACAAAATAATTGAACAGGCCATACGTAATAACTAGATAATAAAAAATCTGATGCCATAATAATAACATAAAAATTATTATAATATAATAATATAATGATGTAATTGGGTGCTCGTTCGGTGATAATAATAATTTGACACTAATAGATTATTTCATAATAGCAACAATAATAATAGGTACGTACAGGTACACTATATACTACATAGTATATAGGTATATAATCCTTCGATGTTTAATAAGTAAGTTTTTGACATAGTATGTGTATGGCTAATCACTTTTTATACTTTTCTGTCTGTGTCCCGACTGTACAATACATTTTATACATAGGTATATAAGTGTATGCAAGCTATTGCGTGTTTTAATACAGACATACACTATATACATTAGTATTATACATACATTACTATACTATAAGATGAAAATTTGAAAATTTACAATGTTGCTTTTTTGTGTACTTGTGTTTACTTGCTTTCAACATTTTCGTATTTACCACTGTCGCAATATGAATAAGGTATCTATACATTTGTGAGCGTACATTCTATAATCGCGGTTTTCATCGAAGAGATTGCAATATAAATAATTGCAAATTTGGCTATAATATAATATGCTTTCAACGATATATTTGTAACTGGTAGTTTTTCATCACAGATTTTGAAAATACGACTAATTACGATTGATTCAAAATGTTTTGAACATATCGTCGAAAATAATATGCTTAGTTGTCGGTATATATGCTGTATAGGCAGTATTTGTTTTTACGGTCAATCTTGACGTAGTATTAACTTTTACTATTAATAATTTAAACAAACTTTTTTTTTGCTGTTTATTCTTGTAATAAAACGTAATAATTGTTACGTAAGACTCCGTACATCAATATTATATAAATATTTTTTTTGTACAATTATGATTTGAAAGTTATTATATTGGTATACTATAGTATCTTTTTTAATTTATTTATTTTTATTGCAGTTGTTCTGCAACACGTGGAATGGCGCAGAAACGCATTCAATGTTTCAATAGGGTTTATTTAATCAATCGTTTATTGCAGATATTCGCCTATAATATAAAAGAATTAATTAAACGTAGGACCATAGGTACATATAACAATAATGAACATTCAAACCAATTAGTTAACACTTAATAATATCTATAACGATTATAACAAATAAAATACACGTATTATATATTTGTTGTTTTGATGGCGATACTATGAAGAAAGTGTACATTGATAATATTTTGATCTATGTTTCTAATTAATTTAAAGTCCATTTAACAAATACGATGATAAGATCTTGAGTTTTAATAACTTTTTCTATAGTGTCTGAAAGCAGCAGCTGCGCGCGGCTGGCATTAGTGAATTCCGTAGACTTATTATTGCCTTCTCCCCGAACGATCGCCGGCCAAACAATTAATATAATAAATCAACTGAATACCTATCGTTAAAATTGCTTTTAGACAGAAGATAAATGATTGAAAGATTCGAATGGCATTGTCGTTCCAAACAAAAAGTGAAAGACCATTAATGCATCGTTTACGACGACGACGACATGTTGATGTCCGTGAAACAATCGGGTGTAATAATAAAAAGTAATCAGACCCTTTGCCTTTCAAAAAGATAAAAAGATTCACATTCATGTGTGATTATCTGTCCGTATAGAAATCCTCCATCAAATATAACTACCACCACCACCGCCGCCATACACAGAAAATATACCTGTTGAAGGGGAAAAAGAAGAAGAAGGAAAACAATATTGAGGATTAGCCGTGAACATTCCGAACGAAAGTATCCAATACAAGGAAAAAATCAAATTAATGTGTAGGTCGTTTAGGTAGGGGACCGTGGACATCTCTCATGGTAGCGGGTGTGAACATCGCGCCCAAGAAGAAAGTGGCCAGTTTTCGACAGTCGGTTGCACAGGTCAAAACTCCTTCCGTGAACAAATTGTGTTACCGGTATTATTAAATATACGTACAACAGTGTTTTGTTTTACGTATACACTTTCCAACTATTACGACAAACGGTTGCGTTCCGTGCGATGCTATCTTTGCTTTAAGCTTTTTAATACATTTTTTCAAATAATCTTATGTTTTGAAAATTATGTATTTAAAGAATATCTAAAATCAATTTGACAAATCATTGGATATATATCATGGCCAAGCCAAAACAACTCCTGCAAGTAAGTCAACTGTTAAATAAATTTAATAATATTTTATGACAATATCAAATTTATTATAATAATATACGAGTAGTGATGCTATTTTAGCAATGTTTAAATTGCTTTCAGATATTTTGAATTTGAGATTTTTAAAATGAAAAATAAAATATAGTTATTATATAGGTAAATGTTACAACTTTAATACCTACCTATAAAATATGTAAATTATTTTTGTTAAAAAAAATATACTTAAGAATAATATAAATAAACTATAATAAAATTAACAAAATAATTATCTGCAGACAAAAATATGTAAAATGTAGGTACATTATGTATCTACAGTATAAAAATTCCTAAAAATATTATATTTACTTAATAGATTCAATATATTATAAATTACTTTTGAAATTGATGGTTTCATAAGATAACATTTTAATAAAAAGAAACTTCTCTCTAATTAGTAATATTATTATTATAAATAATAAATACTGAGTATCTAATTGTTTATAAAAATTTCCATATAGAACTTACTAAAAATTATTATTGTATATATTATACAAGATCAATTAAAATGAGAGGGAGTAGGGATAGTTAGTAATTATAAATGTTGCCAAATGTCACGGTAAGTTTAATACGTTTAATTACTAAGTCATAACTAATTTTAAACATCAAAAAAGTGTAATTTTGTCAATTTTTTTCGTTTTGAATAATATCATGACAGTTTTATTTTACTTAAACAAAATATGTACATTAAAGAAATTTATAAAATTAATATTCAATAATTCAATTTAATATTTTATTGTGTTGATGTAGGTACTAATTAAATTTTATTTTTTTTTAATTTGTTTATAAACTACACTCATTGGATAGTCAAAGTATCGAAAACAATTTTTTTTTTTTTTTGTAAGCTTAAAAAACGTAACTAAAATTACTGATGTAAATAAAAGTGTGTACTTACAAATTTCTAATTTCAGTTATTCGTTTAACTCATTACTGTAAAATATAAATGAATTCGTTTTTAATACTTACAATTAGTTCTGTTTAAATATTTAACCGTTTAAAAAAAAATAAATACTTTATTTATACTTTTACTCTATTGTTTATATTTTTATTTAATGCATTATGTCCAGTTTGGGTAAATGTAACATCATCAAAATTACACCATCATGACAATACGGGAAATACTATTCCAAGTGATGTCAGAGATATTTTCCAGGACTTCAACAATTTGACCATTGTTAATTTGAGTTGTAAAGAATTCACACGGTTTTCTCTCATTGTCTTTTTGCCCATTTTTTTTTTTTAAGAAATTTTTTCATCATTCACACTATAGATCACCTTCATTGTTCGCTGTCTTCCCTTATTATTGTAGTTACTGCACCAGATAATCTTAATCGGTCGTTTAAACGATGGAACGACCGTTAAAATATCTGTTATATAATTAATGCGTCAGTCTCAAATCGTTTCTCTTGCTTATTGTTTTGGCTAATAATAACGTAATTATATAATATATTTTTAGGTCTGCTTGCTGATCACGTTCACGGTCAGTGCGCTATGTTTGAAAAATGTCGACCAAACAAGACTTATAGCAGACAGGCCTAAACACCAAAAGCCCGTATCGTGGGATCAAAATTCTAACTTATGGAAAAACAAACAAAGTTCTGTTCCTCCATATGCCGTAAAAATGGAGCCCATGGTGCATTACTCGCAACAAGATCCACTCTACTTAAATGCAAATCATTCAGCCACACCAAAAATCGATTTTGATAGTCACGCAAGTGGTTCTGAATTTGGTATATCGTCAAATTATGGTTCACCTAACGCTGTGTATGGTGCACCGTACCAACCAGACTACTACAAGGAACCGGAACCAATTATTGAAATAATTATAAAAGAATCTAACGAATCACTTCCAGCGCCACCAACACCACCACCTGTTCCTGTAACAAAACCACAGAAAGAACCTGTTCAAGTTTTTTATGTAAAATATAAAAAAAATCCAAATTCATATGGTGATAAAGAAGACATTATATACGAACCACCTGTACCTGCATTAACACCTAGTACGGAGGCCGTCAGTGAAAGTGAAACAGTAATTTCTACGGAATCGTCTCCTCTTTATAATTATGTTACGGGACCTCCACCTCCCAGTACTACATATAGAACAATTATAAAACCAGATTCTGAAATTTACCACGGAACGGGTCTTAAAGTAACGTTTGGAAAGACTGAATCGGACTGGAGCCCGTCAATAAATGAAGCACAAAAAAGAGATTCTATTAGTGAAGCAAGCGAAATTCAAAATAAAGTTAAAAAATCGACCGAACAAGAGTTTAAAAGAAGCTTTGTTCAACCAACACCAGACTATCAACGGAGTAATAATAATTTTGATACGCCACATATCGCTAATCAACCTCAATTTAACGGATTTAATACTCCAAAGCCAAATATTGACCATACGCAACAGCAATTGAGAAAACCTAGTCAGTCAGTACAAAACTACTTCCGTGAAGATAATCCTCGGCCAAATTTCCAAGGTCAAATACCAATCATAAATCGACAATTTAAACCTCAGCAAAATAATTTCGAAGGTATTGTTGAACAAAGACCAATAGAGTTCAAAGATAATTTCCGAAATCAACAAAATTACCAACAATCTAATAATCAACCAAATTTCCAACAGTTGACAAATCCACCAAATATTCAACAATTTACTAATCAACAAAATCATCAGCAATTAAGTAACTCACCAAATCATCAACAACCAAATAACCTACAATATCATCAACAACCAAATAATCCACAACATCATCAACAGTTAAATAACCCACAAAACCATCAACAATTTAATAACCATCAAAACCATCAACAATTAAACAATCAACAAAATGGTCCACAATTAATTAATCAACAATTTAATAATCAACAAAATCATCAACAGTTCATTAATCATCCAAGACTACCATCAGATTTTCAACCAAATCCACCACTTAGAAATCCAGGTAATTTCCAAGAAAGACCTGTACAGATAAAAACAAATAATGAACGACCATTTATAAATAAGCCTTTTGAAAGTCGTCCACCTCAGAGTAAACCGTTTGAGAGTCGACCTTTTGATAGCAAACCGTTTGAAAGTCGTCCTATCCAAGACAGTCATTTTGATAATCGACCAATATTTGATAGACCTTTTGAAAATAATCGGCCAATTCAAAGCAGACCATTTGATAATAGACAAAATCAAGGCTTTGTTAATTATAGACCAAGCAAGCCCCCAACACCACATAATATACCTTTAAATCCTAATCCATCATTTGTACCGGTCGATAAACGACCAACTAATCCATTACCGCCTCAATCGCCCAATTTCAACATTCATCCAACCGGTACGAAACACTCAGTTGATTTAGCTTTTTCTCCACAACAACAACAGCAGCAACACCAACAATTTCAACAACAACAATTTCAACAACAACAGTTGCAACAGCAACAGTTTAAACCCACCGAGACGCGTCAACTAGTCAACAATAATCCAACGTCGTTCCAACAACAGCCAATAATTAAGCAACAGCAATTTTCACCAGAAATAAAACCTTCTCAAAATTTACAATACCAGACAGTAAAACAACAGCAATTTATTCCTGACTTAAAACCGTCAGAAATTCCACAACTTCAAATTACTCCATCACATAGTTATGAACTCCAGCCAAATCAGCAGACAGCACAATCTGGCCAATTTATCGAAACATATAATAGGTATCAACCATCAACACAAACAGAACAAAATTATTTTCGTCCCGATGATAGCCCATGGCAAGTATCAAACCAACAACAAAATTCGTTTAATGTTCAACAGCAAGAGTACAAAGAACAATTAAGTCCAAGTACGATAAAGAATACCATTGACACGACAAGTAAATCAATTTTAAAAACAACTGAAAAACCAGCATCATTTGTAACGACGCAGTACAAAGAACGCAGTACACCAGCTGTTACAATGGCAACTCCCAAATCAACTACTACTGAAGCTGCTAAAAATGAGACTAAAAAACCAGATTTAAAAAATATCGCATCGCTTCCGGACGAAGTTCCCGATGAATTAAGAGAGCAGCTCCTTTCTTCAGGAATTCTCGGTAACGCCGACATTCAAATATTAGACTACGATAAAGTTGGCGATATACCAATCGAAAATTTACCACCTGAAGCTTTAGAAAATTTATACGGCCAAGGCAGCGCTCCGATACCGTCGGTAGTCCTACCTCCGAATAAATCCAATGTCCAAATGAAAGTCGTCAAGTACGACCCTTCAACTGAAGAAGGAAGGAAAATTGAAAATACATACATCGACAGACCCAAGTCTCAAACTCTTGACCCTGTTGTCTTAAACGACACCGGATATAATCGTTTTTTACCATTGAACATTAACGGTAACCATTTCCCGATACCAGATTCACCGTTATTGAAAAATAAATCCATCGGAAGTGTAGTTATATTATCACCAGTGGGCTACGATTTATCAGAAGACCAGTCCCGACCATCTAGGAATACCGCAGTTAAAGTGAAAGGAGTTCATTTTGTTGTTGGTGATATTGTGAAAAATCTTGTTAAAGACCCAAATAGAGAAAATTTTAAGACTTGGCTGGAGAAAGAAAAAATTACACCTTCTGATGAACAGTCAGTCATCCTTTTGGTCACTAAGTGAGTATATTATCATCATTTTTTTAAATATGACGTTTTTTTTTTCAATTTATAAAAACCTTGAAATAATAAAAGTTATTTAAATAGGTATATATATTTTTATTATAACATATATAGGTACCAAAATAATTGTAACAACTAATTATTATCTTTGTTTATAAACACACAACACATCATGTTTATTAATATTCACTATATCTACATAATAATGATATATATATATATATGTATTATACAAGATGTATGATGTACAAACTCCGATGATCAAAATTATAGTCCGGGGGTGTACATAATGTTTGTGTTTTTGTTTAACTTTTATTTTAATTCATTCAAACACAAATTTATTAAATGGTAACCTACAATAAATCGTATTTTTAATAATAAATAAATCAACTATAATTTTTTCAGGCCAAATGGTAAGGAAAATGGAAAGGAAATTTACATGTATGACGTGACACACAATCAGGTCAACAAATTGTCCGGCGAATTGAGTGCGACTTTCGTAGATGTAGCAGAGTCAAACTCACAGAGTCACGATTTGGACAACCTATCGTCCGAAGAGGAGGTGGATGTATCCGGAAATAGCACTATTGATAATACTCCTGTCGTATCCGGTTACAGCAAGACGAACGACTTCTCGGGCTCAATTGTTGCCAATGCCAATAATTAGACTGATCTGTTAAACGTGTTATTCTTAAAGTTTAATTTAAACTCGCAATTTTTTTATTAATCATTTCCTAAACTATACACAAAAAAAAAAAAGAACTACAAATAAATTTTTCTATTGTTTTTAAATAAATATTTTTATTAATGAGTTATACATTAGGTAATTATTATAGATTACATAAAATATTAAGAATTAAGGTAGATATTTTTATAATATACTACTTGTAAATTTTATATTCTAAGTTAAAAATATATTTAACATGCTTCGAATTCGAAATAAGTGTACATAAAATAGAATATAAAACAAAATTTTATAGTATTCTAATAAAACAAAAATTACATTTTTTTATACGCTTAAATTATTGAATTTTTTGTATTAATTTATAAATAATTGATACTAATTAGAATAGTCTATACAGTACCTTATATTCTCTATAAAAAAATATATACATAAATTTGAAAAATTAAACAAATACTTAGGTTATGTAAATATACCTACGTTTTACTAGGTATCGCATAGAACATACATATAACGGTATACCTACATGCACAGCATTTACTATTAATTAACTCTGACAATGTAGTAGGTATTATAATAATATATAATTTACCTAATACAATATAATAAGACATGTAGTTAATTCATATATTTTACCAATTTATTGTTTTTCTATTAAACTAATAATTTTTTTTCAATTATTCTTGCAATACTATCCACTATTATATGGTTACAACTTACAAATGTGATTTTAATATTGTAAATTGTATGCAATATAATGTTATATATATATAACATTATATTAATATCACAGATGTACATACCTGTTGTGAAACATTATCATACATAATATTATGGTTTGTACAATGTACCATATAAAATAGATAAATGATAATAAGTACAAATTAAGTAAATATTTTACAATAGCCAATAGGTACATAATTTATGTGCGGATAATTTCCTACTTTAATGTCAAACATATTTTTATTTTTATAGGTCTGTAAAATATATCGTAAACATGCCACTATTTAAATAATTTTAAACGTACTTAAAAAGTTAAAGGTTTAAAAAGAAAGTCACGATATAAGTATTTAGATAGGTATATATTTTAATACGTGTCTAATGTATACGATATGATTGACCTAGAAAAGACCGAATTCTTATGCTTCGTAAGAAAAAAGTGTAATCCTATAGCTCAAAAATAGCAAATGTTCTATTAAGCATTCCTTTGAATATAATTTACAGAGAGTTTCAGCCAAATATAGTATTTATATGATAATAGAGATATATATTAACGAAATCTCCGTCAAATTTAATAATACCGTTGTAATATTTTTTCTAAATTTATGATACGTAAATAACAAAAATCATAATATTATAAAACTATCATCTGTTATTAATGTTATATTATTCAGCTGTATAGTTATTTAGTTTATTGATTATTTAATATTATGTATACAGGTATTAGTTAGTTTCATTGAATAGTAGATCAGTTATAAAATACATGGTCATAAAAAATTGCTTACATAATATGTCTGGTACACACAAGCCATGGAAGAAGTGTTATCGATTAAATATGTACATTTTTATTCATATTTATAGTTTCACTCGAATAAAAACGATTTCATTGTATTTATTTACAAAACGATACTATTCTTTATTTTTACCATTTCACTTTGTATTAAAGCGAATCTAATTATTTATTTCATAATTTTATAATATATTTATATTTTATACACAAATATATACCTCATTATACATTATGGTCTTTAAATCTGTAGATTTTAATAAAAAAATTATTATGACTTCTATTAGCCATTGCTGATTTCACTTATAATATATTCTCCGATTTTCCTATTAATTTTTTTTTAAATTATCAATATTATTAATATTTTTACTATTAAAATGTATAAAAAAAATAATTATAAATTCCAATATATCTAGTTCTAATTAAAAAAAAATTATTGCGCGAATGAATCACGTAATATTTATTTATTTTTTATGCACAGTAGTATAACAGCCCAATCGATAAAAGAGTACTCTTTATCATATTCAATTATGTTCACGGAATGCACATCATTTATTTAAAAAACACAGTTAATAATAAGTAAATTATTTATTATTATTTCATAAATAAAAACATATTGCAGTTATAGTGAACTAATTAAAATAAGTATATTCATAGTAACTATGTAAAAATTGTCTCAAGCATAGAAAAGTTCGTCATTCAATAGTATATACTTATTAAAATAATGTTTAACTTTTGGGTATATTACTCATATACGTGTATTCCAATTGTTTCAAATTACATTCAACATTTTTAATAGGTATTCTAATATCTGATTAATGGTTTGTCATTTTAAAAGCTTAAGGTTCAGATTTCTTCAAAATGAGTAACCAACATTAATAAATTAATCTAAAAATGGATACGAAATTAATTCTTTTCATATATTCAATATTGAGCCATTAAAAATTTAACTTTATTTATTTAAATTTGATTGAACACTGTAATCGTAGCATAAAACAATTATTCCCCGTAAATTATATTGCAATTATTCGTAAATATAGTCATAGAATCCAAGTATCTGTGGAATACTAAACTAATTAGTATTAAATGAAAGAAGTTATTTTGTAAAACAAATAATTTCTTGGCTGTGTATAGTGGGATTTTTCTCAGTATAATTAAAATATTATGTTTATTCTTGTATTTAGTCGTTTAGGTATTATTTATTTTGTGGTACAAAATTCAAACTTTCTAATATAATACCTTATAATTACGAACTATTTACAAATTTGTCTTATCTACATGTAATATTCGAAAAAAAATGTTACAAACGTTTCGGTCAGAATCTATAATAAAATTTATATATCTATACTTATTTGGTACTTACCAATAATAATAGCAATAATTATCAAAATTGAAATCCTATCGATATTTGCTTGATAGTTATATACTAGATAGTAGATACCAATCATGTTTGTATATTATAATTATCATTCTATTGCTGTGACTTTTTTAACATTTTAATATAGTACTCATTACTTTGCATACATAATTTTTGATTTTATAAATAATATTTTAGGTATCCTAGACTTTTATAAACTGTTAATATACCTAAATAATACTTAGCACAAATCATTAAAAATAATTTAATATCTTGTCTAATGACATAATAAAATGTGTGTTATTTAAACATTTTTTATGTAAAACTTTATCTTCTTATTTAAATCATCTATATTTTTTAAGTATAAATTAAAAAATATTGTATTACATGGGCGTAACTAGGATTTTATAATTAGGAAGGGGGGGCAATTGATAATTTTTTTTTGTTTTTCGATTTAGTAAAATTTACACGTTTGGTATAAGAAATAGAATTTAGTTTGAAGCGCGGGGGGGGGGGCAAGTGCCCTATCTGTCCCACCAACGTTAACCTCATGTTATATTATGTTATAATATATTTTAATAATTAATATTATATTTATGTAATTATATATTTCAAATCACAACTAGTAATTACATTTAGTTATGTATTTATTAGATGTGTTTATCGTTTAAGTAATATTAATTTAAACACGTTTTTAATTTGATAGCAATACCAAATCTAAAACAATATAATTATTATTGGTTATATTTATAATTTGATACTTATTCATAATTACATTTATATAAACACCAAAAAGTTAGTATTTTCATAGAGTTCTTTTTTCATTTTGTTTTACTTTAATTTAATATTCTCATAAATCGTTTTACGAATACAAATGTATATTATTTTATGGTTTACAAGATTGTCCGAAAGCGAAGTAAATGCATGAATGAATAGGTATAATAGGTATTATATCTATTTCAATAGTTGTTCATTTCGCATTGAAAATAAAAAACTGCAGGTATTTATTGATTCCAAACTCCAAAGTACTAAGTAGTATAATTATATCAAATTTTAATATCATTTATTTATTTAAGTCACAACAATTCAGTTGACTGATCCGAATTAAAAATAAAAATAAAATAGGAAACCCGTGGAAATCAAACGCAAATCTCCGTTAACATTATTAATGCCATACCTTGACGCATGTCATGTAATAATATAAACATAAAATAAAATATTTGCCTTAATAGAAGTACTGGAACAACAAATTTTAAACAATTTCTATTAAAAAATAATAGCAAAAAATAAATTGAACGAAATTATTAGAAATTATTGTACGCCTACTTAATAGTATAAAGCGCAAACCCGCGTTAACTAGAAACAGGAAGTTTCGAATCTCGGCTTTCTGACTTATAGACAATAGTGCTATTAGTGCTATTATAATAAAATAATAATAATCTACTCAAACATGATCTCTCATCCACAAAGTCTTAAACACAATATTATACTATTAACCGTCACGAAATTATACCAGTATTAAATAACGCTTAAAATGGCTCAAATTTCGTACTGCCGACTGACCAAGTGCAGTAGGCATAATATTCGACATAATAAGATAAAATTATAATATATAGTTGGTATATAAAGCAAAAATTACAAGTGAAACATATTTAGATACGAATGAAGTAAAAATAAAATTTACCAAACCAAAAGTATCAGAAAAATCAATTCATTCGAATAAAAAACACATCACACATGCTTTTTATTTTGTTAGCTGTAACTCTCTCATACACTACATAGCTATTTATAACTGCGTCATGAGATCAGTTACTTATTGTAAGGGTCTACTTGAATGATTTTCCAACTAATCATTTATAACCGTTCGCTTCTGCCCAGTCGTGGTTGGATTTACATAAAATCGAAAATTGAAACTGTTGTTTTACTCGTAAACAAAAACATCCAAAAAGGAGTTTAATTTTTAAATACTGGTTAGTATTTCTCCTTAGATCGACTAGATTAGGTGACAAAACATACGTGCACAGCACGCAACACTGCTACTGCAATCACAATCGTCGGCACGGTCCTTACGCGCGCTAAACCATAACCTCTAAAAGCGGAAGAACGGTTACCTTCGACAGTAAGGTGAAGTAATAAGTCGACCGACCAGCAGCCAACGTTATGGTTTCAACCAGAACGTCGATTACAGGTAACAACCAACGAGCATATCGGTTGAC